CGCCGAAAAAACTGCCTTCATGACTCCCGAGTGCATCTTCTGCTACCTAGTGATGGCCTTCGGCCTAAAGAACTCAGGGGCCACTTACACCCGGATGGTGGCCCGGGTCTTTCAAGCCATCCTAGGGCGCACCATGGAGGCCTATGTCGACGACATGATCGTCAAGAGCAAGCAATCTTCCAGCCATGCTGACGACCTCCGGAAAATTTTTGCCATCATGCAAAAATTCAACCTTCGGCTAAACCCGAAGAAGTGCACCTTCGGCGTCCAAGGGGGCAAATTCTTAGGCTACATGGTGAGCCGAAGGGGTATTGAGGCCAACCCCGAGAAGATCCAGGCCATCATCAATATGGAGCCCCCACGCAATGTGAAGGAAGTCCAACGGTTGACGGGTCGCCTGGCAGCCCTCAACCGCTTTCTATCTAAATCGGTGGAGAAATCGCTACCCTTCTTCCAGATCATGAGGAAGACGGCTGGCTTTCTATGGACTGCAGAATGCCAGGGGGCTTTCGACGAGCTCAAAAGATATCTATCTTCACCTCCTGTGCTCTCCAAACCCAAGGTAGGGGAGACCCTCTACCTCTACCTTGGGGTTAGCCCGGCGGCCATCAGCTCTGTGCTCATTCGGGAGGAAGACGGCATCCAACGTGCCATCTTCTATGTTAGCAAGACCCTAAGGGAGGCCGAGCTCAGGTACTCCCCTGTGGAAAAAACGGTGTTAGCCATCGTTTGGACTGTCAAGAAGTTGGGCCACTACTTTCAGGCTCACCCGGTTCAGGTCCTCACCCATCAACCCCTCGGCGCCCTCATGAGGAGCCCCACCAGCTCCTCCCGCATGGTGAAATGGGCTATCTTCTTGAGCCAGTACAACATTGACATCCGTCCAAGGCCTGCCATCAAGGGCCAAGCCCTGGCGGACTTTGTTACGGAGTGTACCGCAAGAGCAGCCACGGACGGGGAGCCCTCGGCCACCTCGGACGACTGGTGGACCCTCTACACTGACGGCTCCTCCGCGATCAAAGCATGCGGGGGAGGGGTAGTCCTCATTACTCCCGAGGGCTTCAGGGCCTACTATGCAATCCGCTTCTCCTTCAAGGTCTCCAACAATGAGGCCGAATATGAGGCCCTCCTATGTGGCCTTCGGCTGGCTGCCAACATGAGGGCTCGGCAGATCCACATAAAATGCGACTCCAAGTTGGTCGTTGGCCAAATCTCCGAAGAATATGAGGCCAAGGAGGGGAGAATGAAACAGTACAAGGAAGCGGCCAAGGAGTTGCTTAAGGTATTTGAGGCACACTCTCTCACTCAAATACCGAGGGCTCAGAACTCCGAGGCCGATATATTATCTAAGCTCTCGGCAGACTCCCCCGAGCACATCTCCAGAATTGCCAAAATCGAGGAACTCAGCCTCTCAAGCATCCATGCAAGCCCCGTTATGAACATACAACAACGTCAGGAGGATTGGATCTCAGATATCACCACCTTCATCTCCACAGGGCAGCTACCCGAGAATGAATCCCGCGCTAAACTGGCAAAGCTGAGGGCTCCTAGCTACACCATCGAAGATGGGAGGCTCTACAAACGATCTTACAATGGCACGCTACTTCGGTGCCTTCATCCAGATGAAGCCGAGGTCGCAATGGAGGAAGTGCACAGTGGCACTTGCTCAGCTCACCAGGGACCCTTCTCCATGTCCCGAAGGCTCATTCTCCAGGGCTACTTCTGGCCAACCATGGCCAGGGATTGTGCTGACCTTGCCCGGAGGTGCACCGCATGTCAACATTTCCAGAAAGCCCCCGGCAGGCCAGCGGTCAACTATGCCCCCATCAGCACATCTGTCCCTTTTTCTCGATGGGGGATAGACCTTGTGGGCCCTCTGCCGAGGGGTACCTCCAACAACAGGTACATCATTGTGGCCGTCGACTACTTTACCAAGTGGGTGGAGGCTGAACCCCTCGCCAGCATCACAGAGGCAAAGTGCCGTCACTTCGTCCTCAAGAACATCCTCACAAGGTTTGGCGTCCCCCAGCAGATCATCTCCGACAATGGGACACAATTTGAGGCAGCCCCCTTCTGTGCCCTTCTGGAAGCATGGGGCATCAAACACACCTTCTCCTCCGTTGCCTACCCTCAAGGCAACGGGCAAGTAGAGAACGCCAACCGGACCTTGCTCGAGGGCCTCAAAAAGAAGCTGGAGGCCGAGGGTGGTGGCTGGGTGGAAGAACTTCACAACATCCTTTGGGCCTACCGCACCACCCCTCGGTGAGCTACAGGTGAAACACCCTTCTCCCTCTGCTACGGTTTTGAAGCCAAAGCTCCTACGGAAGTCACCCTTCCTACCCGAAGGGTGATCCAATACGACCCCGAGGTCAACGACAGCAACATGGCCCTCGACCTCCACCTCATTTCAGAACGCCGGGAGCAGGCCTTCATCCAGGCAGAAAACTACCGAAGGCAAGTTAAATGCTACATCGACGCCAAAGTTCGCACCCGAGAATTTCAAGTGGGGGACTATGTCCTCCGGAGGAAGGAAGCCAGCCAACCAACCGAGGGAGGAAAAATGGCACCAAAATTCGAAGGCCCCTACATCATAGCAGCCATCATCAAACCCGGGACCTACAAACTCAAACGCCCCAATGGGAAAGAAGTCCCTAGGCACTGGAATGTACACCATCTAGTTAAATTTTATCAATAATGTAAGAGCGGCCAAGCCCTCATAACTAGTGAATGTACTATCCTATGGCCCAAGGCCTCCAATTTCGAAGAATGAAGATACATTCAAGACATCAAGCCCTCATACTGACTACAGGCCCCAGGCCTCACCACGAGAAGAACCCCCTCCGGCACCAAATGCCGAGGGCGGACACCATCAACACCTACAACAAACAGCGAAAACACCACAGGACCCCTCGGGACCCAGTGCCGAGGGAAGGAACTCCTATCACCAACAACAAGGAACACCATGTGTTTCATTTCCCTTCGGCACCCAATGCCGGGGGTACATCCCCACCTTCAACATCAAAAAAGAAAAGATAAGAACACCAAGTGTTCCTACAGAAGACCCTTTGGCACCCAGTGCCGAGGGTACACCTCCATCATCAAACATCGAAACGAACACCAAAATGTTTCAAAGAAGACCCCTCGACACCCAGTGCCAGGGATATGCTCTCCTTTCAACTTCCAAACATCTGTTGGGAAACACCAAGTGTTTCATTTGAAGACCCTTCGGTACCAAGTACCGAGGGTAGACGCCTACATCAACTACGACAAAAGAGAACACCAAGTGTTCCTACAGAAGACCCCTCGGTACCAAGTACCGGGGGCTACACATCGAAACTAACACCAAGTGTTGTTTCTAAAAAGCCGTACCCCACGAGGACGCATATACCGAAGGCGCCACCATCGGTGCCGGCTGCACGTACTGCCCCCGGCCATTTGCAACTAGTGTGCAAATGAAAACCCTTCCTTGAAACGCTTTCCGCGTCACTACCCCCAGGGTATGACAGGCATGAGAAATGCCCAGGATTCGACTTTCAAAAACGGAACGCTATCCGCGTCACTACCCCCAGGGTATGACAGGTATGAGAAATGCCCAGGATTCGACTTCCAAACCGAAACGCTCCCCGTGTCACCACCCCAAGGGTGTGGCAGGCCACGGACTATGTCTAGCGCCAAGGGGACGACTTTCAAAAATGAGGCGCTTTCCGCGCCATCCCCCAAGGGGAGGCAGGTTACGGACCACCATATCTTGTGCCCAGGAAACGTCCCTCGATCCCCTCGGAACTCGGAAGGTTAACCCGAGGGAGGAGAGCCATTGGTGTATTCTGATGGTCTCCTAATAGGCCCAGCCTTACCAAGAAACCAAGTTTCTTGATGCCTTCCCTTCACCACCAACCAAAAAAAAGGGGGGGGGGGGGTGAAGGGGAGTAGACTGAGCGAGAAATCAAAGAGTACACTCCAACAGATCACAACAAGCCGAGGGCTCCCCACGGGAACACCTCCGGTAACTGAAGGCTCCTATTTCCCGAAGGACACTACCCGAACAAATAGCAGCAAGGAACGGCTAAGTCCACTGCATGGTCACCTCCGGTCACACAAACACCGAAGGCTTCAACAATACAAAGGGACTGGACTATCCAAAGTACACTAAGACGGTACCTTCAAATATGCACCGAAGGCCCCTACCCCATTACAAGGGACACAACTGGCTGAGTCAAACTCTACAACTCCTCAGAGTGTATGCCGAGGGCACACACTCCTCATTGGCTTTCTTCACAACAACAGGATTTAACATCAACTTACGCAAAGTAATGTAGAGTCAGGGGGCACCTATCACCCGAAGGCTACACAAAGAAACTACACTTGAAAAATTCCAAGTCCTAAAATTGGGCCCCCGGCTCAATCAACACTACAGCCAGGGGAATACAATAGCCGAAGGCTATGCGATACCACAACACTTGCAAACAAAGAAAATTTCTATGTCCTAAAGATGGGCCCCCGGCTCAGTCAGTACTGCAACTAGAGGAATATGACAGTCGAAGGCCATACATCAAGAAGGGATGCCATCTCCCGAAGGCTCCCAAGGGAAAATCCACACTTAGAATGTTTTCTAAGTACCACATGCTTTTCCCCGGTCAACTACTTATACATCAAGGAGGGATGCCATCTCCCGAAGGCTCCCAAAGGGGATTTTGCACTTAGAAGATTTTCTAAGTCCCACATATTTCCCCCCCCCCCCCCCCCCCCCCCCCCGACAGCTACTCATACATCATGAAAGGATGCCATCTCCCGAAGGCTCCCAAGGGAAACTCTACACTTAGAAAATTTTCTAAGTCCTGCATATTCCCCCCCCCCCCCCCCCCCCCCCGGTCAACTACTCATACATCATGAAGGGATGCCATCTCCCGAAGGCTCCCAAGGGAAACTCTACACTTAGAAGATTTTCTAAGTCCTACATATTTCACCCTCATCTCAAGGGACCTAATTGCCGAGGGCTGCTGATAAACCGCATTCGCGGCGTTGTAGTAAAACGGAGTCTAACCTTTCGGTTTTTCCCCGAGTATCGTGTCTCTGAGGAGTGGCGGAGGGAAGTGTTGGTTTCAATATTGGTCACCGGTTAGTACGAGTCATTGCAAGCTTTCTCAAACGATTAATTGTGATAGTGATTAAAGAAATAAAAATAAATAACAAAAGTAGTAACGAAGAATTTAATTAAATGACATTAATGAGTAAACTAAAACTAGTGAACATGCAAAATAACTTGAGAGAGAATATTAACTAATTAAAATATTAAACTAGCAAACATGTAGTAGAGGAATGTTTCGAAAATAAAATACTAAAAGGTAAATTCAATGTGACTAGTAACCAAAAATTAACTAATTAAAAGTGGGGTTTAGATTTGGATTTAAGGATCTTGAGTGTCATTGGTTATGAATAAAAATGGGATAATTTCTCCAATCTAATTAAGAATAGTGACATTAATTCTCATAGACAAGAATTTAATTTTTAATTCCCCTAACATGTTCTATTTCTAGACTTAGTTTAGGGTGTAAGAGATGTGAGCTAAATTAATTCCAAACTCATAGACAAGAAAGAATTAATCTTCCAAAAGTTCGCAAGTGAAGTGATCAATTTCACAAATTACTCTTTCAATTTCATCTCAAACAACTAGTCCTAAAAACTGGAGAAAGTTCCTAAATTTAATTCAATATTTAAGAACACCCATTAACCTAAATTCTATCCAAATCTAAACCCCATGGAAATTTAGCCTAACATAATTATCATGAAACTAACACTATTAATAAAACAGCTAGAGTAATTTGTAGATGAAATTAAACAGTAAATAAACATCATTCACAACTCAATTATCCAAGTAAACAGAAATTCGGAGTATGAATTAATACAGGAATTAAAGCTTAAAGCTTATTGAAGTTTGAAAGGGAAAGATGAAACCGGAATTGTTGTTGTTATGTTCTTCTTCCTGCTAAGCTTTCTTCGACCTGCTGCTCGCCTATACCATGCTTGCCTATTTTTTCTCTGGCCAAGAACTACTTGCCGCTGAATTCTGCCTTTGCCCTGCGGCCTGAGAGTGTAAATGGTTTGTGCGGCTGAATCCTTTTCTTTCCTTCTGCCGACAAGCAAAAGTGCTGGCAGCCTCTCAAAAAAAATCAAATCTGATCTCTTCCTCAATTTATTTTGTTTTCTTTTTTTTTCTTTCTTCTTTGTAACGCAGCCTAGCTGCTTTCCATTTTGTTTTCTTTATTCTTTTGCCTTTTTTTTGTTTTGTTTGTCACGCAGCCTTGCTGCAGTTTTATTTGGTTTTCTTTTTTTTCTTTTTTTACTCTATTTGAAATGTTTGTATTAAAAGATATCAAATTGAAATATAATACGGAGTAGCAAGCTGAAATTTGATAAATCACAAAATACAGATAACACAAATAAAAAGAAATAAACATAAAATCAATCCAAACACTTGAATTAAACACAAATCACTTAAAAAATGTAAACTTCAACACTAATTTCAAACACTAACAAAAATGCAACAAAAACGCAGAAAAATGTAACAATTTGCCCCGAGTTTGACAAGAAACGCTATAAAAAGTGAGTGAAAATATATGAACAAATCAGACTTATCAATCTCCTCACACTTAAGCGTTGCTTGTCCTCAAGCAATAAAACTACTCTCAAACAAATTTTCAAGGCAAACTGTTTATAGTGTACAATTCAAGGACTCAAGATTACGCAGAATCAATCATCAATAGACTAAGACTCCAATCTACCTAACTATATTTTCATGAAAGCACACTGATAACTCAACTTTTATGACACAACATACTAATTAAAAATCCTTTAATACTAGCATATATACAAAAAAACACTACTAAGTAATCATGAGCACATGTCAACATTCACATTCAGAAACCCTCAGTCATTCTTAACTAGTCATGAAATACACACAAGCTCCAGTTCTAAAAACAGTTTTAGCCCCCCTAGCAAATTTTTTTTGAATGATCTTGGGGGAGCTACAAGCAAGCCAAGTTGGTATGAATTTTATGGTTAAACTAAATCATCGATTTGTGGGGCTATCTCATAATATATAAAAAATATACTCAGCTCTCGCAGAATACGATAATGAGAAGAGCAGCGCCCCTTCTCGGAGATGAGACTCCCAACGAAGACACTTCTCAAATCAATAATCAAGTACAACCAGAATAGCGAAAGATATTCTATCAAATGCTAAAAGCAAAGCCTCATTCGAGGATAGAATTCTCCCTAATCCAAAGAATTTAAATTTTAAGCTAACCAAGGAGCATTGTATATATCCATGAAAAGAAAGTAAGACTGAACAACCATTCAAACCAAAAACCCAAACTTGTGCACACAACTTCAAAGTAGAAATCAAGCATATTTACTAATATTTAAAGATTTTTTTTAAAAGTATAATGGTAATAAAAAGATTAGTTATAACAAAACTTTCATAAAAAATAGTTAAAGTATACTACACCTTAGCTTATTACTGATCTTAACTTAGTTCACCTGAGCCTCTTGTCATACACACTAGATCAGTTAAATGCCCAGTTCATGAACCCTCCTCACACTTAGAGAATAGACCTCATCCTCGAGGTCTCAAAATAAAACAGGGCAAATCTGCATTTTTTTTTCAAAAGTACCATCCTCACACTTAAGATGAATCACAAATAAACACACATGAAGGGCAAAAATTGATAGAGAAGAGAAGTACTCCCCTTGTGCTCAATATTGAAGAAGATTTGAAAGAGGAAGCACAAATCAAATTTTAACTCAATCGGGCAACTCCGGTGACTAACCTGAAAATGCTAAAGAAAACAAAATATGAATTAAAACTAACACACAAACAAGTAAAAAAAACAAAAGGAAATAGTTTTTTTTTTTTTTTTTTGGTTTTTCTTTTTTTTTTGAATTTTTGCAGTTCCCTTTTTAATTTTTTTTTTCATATTTCATTTTTATGTTTTTTTTATTGTTTTTAGTTTTTTTTTTACTTTTTTTTTTTACTTTTTTTTTTGAGTTTTTTTTAACCTCCCAGAAGTGCTTCTTTAACGTCACTAGCTTGACGCTTTTATCCACTTTTTTTCTTGATCTTCCAACTCTCGGATCATACAGCTCGGTCCTCAGAACTCTTCTGGTGTACCACCATTGTTTCACAAAAACCTCACAAGCAAGAACAAAGGCTTGTGCATCTTTCTCATTTTCAGGTGGTAAAATAAAATAAGGAAAGTCATCCTCATTCTTGAGATCCTCCTCCTCAATCTGGACAGTTTGGAGCCTTGTACTAGTATCAAGTACATCAAGGAGCAAGTCAAGGACCTCCTCCACACTTGTTTCTTTCTCATTCTGTGCAGAATTTTCTTGGTCAACTTGCACATCCAAAGTCTCCAAAAGTAGATCTAGGAGATCCTCAATTTCATTGATTGACTCAGGAGTTTTCTTCTTCAATTCTTCACATGATGCAATCACGATTATCTCAAATTCCTCCTCTGGGTGAGATGCCTCATCAAATTCGGCAAGATGTGGTTTCAAAAGTTCATCATTTTCAACATCACTTTCGCATGAAATGTCTTCCGCATCAACATTTTCTGAAATTGGCTCAAAGATCTCCTCATCTTCATCAAATATCTCATTTTGCAGCCCCGTTAAGTTTTGCTTTTCCGTGGATATCCACCCGTGGTCTATGGATTCTTCATCAATTGTGGGTGCTTCAGTACTAGCATCCACCAAACTTTCCTGAACTTCCATGAAATGACTCAGCTTATTTACCTGACTTGATTGTGATTTGAGATTCTTCACTTGAGTTACCAGGTTGTCAATTATTGTTGTGAGGGCTGAAATTTGATCGGTGCCTTGAAGTGTAGTCTCGGAAGAAGATTCTGACTCATAGTACCAGTTCTTAGCACTTGAAATCACATTCTCCATGAGCGTTTCACTCTCTTTCGGTGTCATGTCGAGAAACGAACCCATCTTTGAATAATGGTCCAATTCTTTTTTACTCACAACTTGAAGTCCATAGTAGAAATAGAACATCAAGTCATGAACATCCATCAACTGGGTAGGACACTTTCTCTGTAGGCCTTTATATCGATCCCAAGCCTCATTCAGTGTTTCCATCGTGGCCTGTCGGAAATTTTGAATTGATGCTCTAATTTTTGCAACTGTCGATGGAGGAAAATACTCATGCATAAACGCGTGATGAAGAGCATTCCAGGTGGTGAAGTGACCGGGTGGAAAAGCATTTAACCACCGAACAGCCTTATCCCGAAGAGAGAATGGGAATAAGATAAGCTTCACGGTGTCAATTGGGACTCCACTGATCCGGAATGTTTGATACGTTCTATTAAACCACAACATATGCACCCTCGGATCTTCATGTTTCAAATTGCCAAATTGATTAATCGATATCACTTGGATGATATCTGGATTAATCTCAAAATCAGTGACATCGATTGGCGGAATGCTGATGCTATCTTCCTCAAAAAAGTCCAAGGTTAAGGCTTCAAGCACTGTTGGCCTCTCCCTCATCATGATGAACTTTTGTTTAGACCATCTCAATGTTCTTTTAGGTTAGAGCAAATGATAGCAACTTGCAATGCTTGAAAGAGAGAGATTTTACAAACTGATCCTGCAAACTTGAGAAAACAACACAAACAAAAAAAAACAGAAAATAAAGGAGAAAGTCTCACTAACTCGGGTTCGCCTATGCCAATAATAAAAACCAACTTACAACCGTGCCACTCCCCGGCAACGGCGCCATTTGATAAACCGCATTCGCGGCGTTGTAGTAAAACGGAGTCTAACCTTTCGGTTTTTCCCCGAGTATCGTGTCTCTGAGGAGTGGCGGAGGGAAGTGTTGGTTTCAATATTGGTCACCGGTTAGTACGAGTCATTGCAAGCTTTCTCAAACGATTAATTGTGATAGTGATTAAAGAAATAAAAATAAATAACAAAAGTAGTAACGAAGAATTTAATTAAATGACATTAATGAGTAAACTAAAACTAGTGAACATGCAAAATAACTTGAGAGAGAATATTAACTAATTAAAATATTAAACTAGCAAACATGTAGTAGAGGAATGTTTCGAAAATAAAATACTAAAAGGTAAATTCAATGTGACTAGTAACCAAAAATTAACTAATTAAAAGTGGGGTTTAGATTTGGATTTAAGGATCTTGAGTGTCATTGGTTATGAATAAAAATGGGATAATTTCTCCAATCTAATTAAGAATAGTGACATTAATTCTCATAGACAAGAATTTAATTTTTAATTCCCCTAACATGTTCTATTTCTAGACTTAGTTTAGGGTGTAAGAGATGTGAGCTAAATTAATTCCAAACTCATAGACAAGAAAGAATTAATCTTCCAAAAGTTCGCAAGTGAAGTGATCAATTTCACAAATTACTCTTTCAATTTCATCTCAAACAACTAGTCCTAAAAACTGGAGAAAGTTCCTAAATTTAATTCAATATTTAAGAACACCCATTAACCTAAATTCTATCCAAATCTAAACCCCGTGGAAATTTAGCCTAACATAATTATCATGAAACTAACACTATTAATAAAACAACTAGAGTAATTTGTAGATGAAATTAAACAGTAAATAAACATCATTCACAACTCAATTATCCAAGTAAACAGAAATTCGGAGTATGAATTAATACAGGAATTAAAGCTTAAAGCTTATTGAAGTTTGAAAGGGAAAGATGAAACCGGAATTGTTGTTGTTATGTTCTTCTTCCTGCTAAGCTTTCTTCGACCTGCTGCTCGCCTATACCATGCTTGCCTATTTTTTCTCTGGCCAAGAACTACTTGCCGCTGAATTCTGCCTTTGCCCTGCGGCCTGAGAGTGTAAATGGTTTGTGCGGCTGAATCCTTTTCTTTCCTTCTGCCGACAAGCAAAAGTGCTGGCAGCCTCTCAAAAAAAATCAAATCTGATCTCTTCCTCAATTTATTTTGTTTTCTTTTTTTTTCTTTCTTCTTTGTAACGCAGCCTAGCTGCTTTCCATTTTGTTTTCTTTATTCTTTTGCCTTTTTTTTGTTTTGTTTGTCACGCAGCCTTGCTGCAGTTTTATTTGGTTTTCTTTTTTTTCTTGTTTTACTCTATTTGAAATGTTTGTATTAAAAGATATCAAATTGAAATATAATACGGAGTAGCAAGCTGAAATTTGATAAATCACAAAATACAGATAACACAAATAAAAAGAAATAAACATAAAATCAATCCAAACACTTGAATTAAACACAAATCACTTAAAAAATGTAAACTTCAACACTAATTTCAAACACTAACAAAAATGCAACAAAAACGCAGAAAAATGTAACAATTTGCCCCGAGTTTGACAAGAAACGCTATAAAAAGTGAGTGAAAATATATGAACAAATCAGACTTATCAGCTGCCTATCAATCGAGGGCTACAGTACACAAGGAATCAGCACTCAAGAAAATTTTCTAAGTCCTAAAGAATTAGCCCCTGGCCTATTCAATGTTTCAGTTGGGGCTCCACAGTACCCGAAAGCTACATGACATACTACACTTGCAAAAAGTCTCTAAGTCCTGTGCGTTGGGCCATCGGTCCAACATTCACACTTCAGGAAAGGATGCCATATCCCGAAGGCTCTCAAGGGGAAATCTACACTTAGAAAATTTTCTAAGTCCTAGGATTTGGGTTACTGCAAACACCCGAAGGCCCTATGGCGTGCTACACTTAGAAAAAGTTTCTAAGTCCTAATTACTGCTAAACCCTCGGTGGCATATCCAGCAGAGGGTGCCCAACTACCGAAGGCTTCTGGGGGCAAACTATAGTCAGAAAATATTCTAAGTCCTAAAACATACATTCAAAAAGGAGAAGGCATACATCCAAAGCAAAACGAAGGCATACATTCGACAATGAACAAATCAAAGGGAAACATATCATATACACAAAGCCCGAAGGCAATCATTCAACTACAACAAAAAAATAGTCAATGTAATCATTACAGAGTATGGCCAAAGCCGAGGGGTGACAAATGTTCATTACAAGGCTTTTTCAAAAATTGACTAAGTACTAATCTTCTCGGCGGCTTCAGCCTCGTTGTCTCCGGGGGCATCTTCCACGACAGCCTTGGAGGAGACTTCTTCTCCGGCAAAATCACCCCCGACGGCTCCAACCCCGTCACCCCCCATCATCACAAAATCATAGATTGTTGGCCGCTCTTCACCCGGGGGGAGGGGAACTCTGACATCTGGTTGCAACGGAGGGAGGCCATATACCGAGGGGTCAAATTGTTCGAGGGACACGCCAAAGTGCCTGGCAAGCCTCCGGTAGATCAGGTGCTGGGTAAAGAACTCACCCCCTGGTAGTAGGCGTCCCCCCTTCAGTCAGCCAGTCAACCCCCGGGCCTTCTACCCAAGCGTCCACCGAGGCTGCCACCACGGAGGCAACCCACTCCTTGTTGCCCTCGGCCCTCCAGCCCTCAGCGAGGAACTCCGCAACTGCCTCCCCTCGGGCCTCGGCCGCAGCTCTCTCCTTAGCAGTTTGGGCTTCTTCGGCAGCTTTTTTCGCCGCCTCGGCAGCAGCCCTCTCGGCCTCCGCCTTGCCCTCGGCTATGCCGTCAGCTTTGGCCTTCTCCGCCGCCGCCTTCGCCTCCCGAAGGGCCTCCTCCAGCTGTGCAGCATGCTTCACCGCCTCGGAATTCTTGCGGATCAGCCCCTCCACCTTCTTATCTTGGGCGGCCTCGTGAAGGCGCCTTTCTTCGCGCCTCCGGGCCTGTTCCCCGAGGGCTATGCAGGCCTGCAAACAACGATCAAAAGGAGTTAGATTATTCCACAGGGAAAGATAATACTAAACTGATAAGATAAGCGAAAAGGAAGCAGATACTTACAGTGAGAGAGGACCGGAGGATCCTGTTCTCGAGGGCATCATCATCGTAGGTCTCGAAGACTTCCCTGTCCATCTTCGAGGTGATGCCCCGAAGGAAGGCCCTCGGCTCGGCAGTGCCGTGCATCAGGGAAGCGCCGGGGGCAAAGGAGAGCTGACGGATCTCCCGGGGTAATTCCTCCCGGGGGGGATTCACCGGATCCTTCGGAGGGACCGAGGCTAGAGGCCCATCAACAGCGGGCATGTCATCAATAATTATGAGGGGGGCCGCCCCCCGACAGCACCCACGTCGCCTTTCTGCTTCTTGGTGGGGGGCTCCACCCCCTTGTCGCTCCTCTTCTTCTTGGCGGCCGCCTCGGCCTTCGACCCCCCGGTCCCCACAGCAGCATGGGCGTCCCCGGCGGAAGGCTCTACGACCTTCGGAAAAAAGGCGTCGGCTGGCTTCTGGCCCGAGGGCCCCTTCTCCTTCGGCTGGGTCTTGCCTTTCCTCTTTGCGAACAGGGCGTTGGCATTCATCCTGCTACCTGCAAAGAAACAACAAGTTAAAAGGTTAGCACCGAGGGGTCAGACATACGACAACAAACATAACAAAAAACTCTAAGTACGAGAATGTAACTCTAAGTACGAGAATGTAAAGCCCCCGGCCGCTACCTCCTGCTCCCACGAAGGCTTTATCGTAGAGAGGATACTTCTCAGCGGTCTCCCCAATGAACCGATACCTCAGGAATCCGAGGGCATACAGGTCTTCCTCGAGGGTGCACTCCTTGATGGTTACGTTCTTTTCCCGACCCTCGGGAATCTTGGCAATCTTCAGGCCATCCTTCTCGAGGGCGGCACTCTTGGCCTTCACATGGCGCCGAAAGCAATTCCGCAGCTCCCTCGGGAATGGGCTGTCGGCCAGTCTGATGTAGCACCATCGCTCTCTACACCCCTTGTTGGAAGAAGGGGCCTCGGTGAACAGTTTGAACTGGGGTATCTGCTGTAAGTTTGCATAGCCCTCGGCAATGGTATGCCCCCCCCCCCCCCCCGGCATAGGTTGAGGCTTTGGAAGAATAGCTCCAAGCTCGGTGTGACCCCCCGGAGTTTGCACAGGTTCACGAACCCAGTTATGTACGAGTGGCTATTGGGGGTCAATTGGCAGGGAACCAGGCCGGTGTACCTCAGGTACTCCCGGAGGAACGGATGGAGAGGGAACCGGAGGCCCATTGAGACCGAGAGCACGTGCACGGCTATACATCCCTCGGGGGGCCGCGACAGCACGTCATCAGGACCTGGCTCGACTACCACGGCCGAGGGCCCTACATGCAACTGGGTGATGTAGATGTCCGCCCTGTCAGCTTGGGACTTAATCTCCAGAGCGGCGGTGTCCAGGAAGGAGTAACCCTCCGGTAGATCAACTGGCCCCCCCTGATCGACGGCCTTTACTTTCTTCCGGGGGGGCAGCCTTCGTCTTTCTCCTCTTCTTCCCGGGGGCTACACTTAACGGCGTCGGGTCCAGCGGCCTCGAGCTACTGGCTTCCCCAGAACCCCGGGGGGGAAGAACAGCGACAGTGACCTTCGCCCTCTCCTTTTCTTCTTCCTCCTCAGCAACTTGGACGGCGAGGGCTAACTCCTCATCTTCGACAGTTCGCTCGAACTCCTCCGCCTCGACCTCAGCCACCAAATCCTTCTGCATCTCGGTGGCGAGAGCTGCATCACCACCCGAGGGCTGACTGCTACTAGACTCCGCATCGGAGATACCTTCGTCTTCCATCGAGGGCGTCCTCGAGATGTCCTGGGAATCGCTCTCGGACGACATTTTTTATCACGAATAAGCCTAGGACTTCGAAGACTCTCTACAGGATTCTAAACCTAAATCTAAGGCCAGGGGGCGGAACTTACTAAAAACTTTGAGAGAGGAGCAGGGCACTGACCTTGAAAGCAGAGTTTTGACCGAAGGCTGGAGTTTCTCTCACTAGAATTTTTGGCAGAGCTTCGCTAAAACAACTGATCGCACAAGAGGAAATGGCTCTGGCCTTGGGGTATTTATAGGCGCTGGAATCCGGGCTTGGGCCTGGGTTCCGGGCCTCCGGATGGACGCCATCATTACTCACCGCGTCTTCGCCCAACCGGTGACGCCGCCCACAGACAGCCAGCCATCACAGGCCACGTGTGCCCCCCCCCCCCCCCAACGGCTATATCCCGTCGTTACATATTCCAACGGCTATATTTCCAACGGCTATATTTTGGAAGCCCCCGGGTTTTCTACTTCACTCCACTTCATCAAGGATAGCCTCCGGGTGCACTCACCCAGAAGTGCCCCCGGGTTGTGCCCCACACAACACATTACACACGCCTTCGGGATCACTCCTTCAGATCCCTAGGGCTGCATATCAGGGCACCCCTCGGGGTTTCCCCCTCAGCACTGCAAAACCGGGTAGCCCCCGGGGAGTGCCTCATTGACGGGTGGCCCATGGCCCTCGGGTATCTTCATCACCAACTCATCAACAAATAGTGGACCCCCCGGTAACAGCTTCACTGTTGCCCTCATCTGGCAGGCCCTCGATCCCTGGATTGAGGGGCTCCCCTTCAGCGCCACCAGGACATCAACAGCAAGCCTCCGGCTAATCAACACAGGAGCCCTCAGAGGAGAGAGCCTTCGGCATTCCCGTCATTCTCCACTTTGTACCAAGGTTTGACATTTTCGATTCATCATTGGGGGAATTCGGTGCACTCTTTTTCCCTCATTAGGATTTTTTCCCAAAGGGTTTTTCCTAATGAGGTTTTTAACGAGGCATCCCCCCAAAATGAAACGAAAAGCGTCAGCCTTCGGCCCACAACAGCAACGTAACTACTCTACTCCTTTTCACCACTTTACAAGTGCCTCAAGGAGTGGGGGACTGGAGGACCCCTTCGGGAAAATCATTAAATTACAAAATCTGTGAAATTCCAAAAAACAACAAAGCAAGCCCTCAAGTCCCGACATGTGGGTAACTGAGGGACTGCCTTCGGCAGGGACATAAAAGCAACAACTCCTCACCAACTTCAGAGATCACGACGGGACAACATCAAAGGGCAAGCACAAATTACTCCTTTTCCTTCAAGTACCTTTCGGCAAAAGGAGTGAGGGACTCCTGATGGAGTATATGGCCCGGGAACCCCCGGCCCACAGACTCCTACTACTCCAGCAAAGGCCCAACAGGCCCAAATCACAGCGCCCAGAGTACCAAGCAGTCCGCACAACGCACAGGGGTGCCTTCGGCCCCCTGGCCGAAGGCTCCAAATTCTCACAGAGCGGGTTTCTCAAGCAAACTAAGAAACTGGGAGAAAACGGCGAAAACAGTAGCCCTCGGCACTGTGAGCCCTCGGCACCAGGGGTGCCATCGGGTGGAAGAGCCCTCGGTTACTGCTTTATAGCCGAAGGCATCTCACTCGACAAGATATCCGCCTCACATGTGTACAGATCACCGTACCCCGCACAGACGTCCCATCCAACAGCCGCATTAAATGCGGCCACATGCGGCTGCCAGCGCCAACCAGTTGAGGTGACCCCTCGGCCAATGAGCGCTTGACACGTGTCCCTGCCCGGCATTTATTGCTACTATAAATAACACCCTTTTTCCCCATTTGTAACCAAGTGATAACACGGTGAAAACACTCCACATTTATAATACACTCTCTCTCTCTACGTTTACTTGCTCTGACTTCTCTCTAAGTTATTCCCAGCAATAACCCTTCGGATATATACCCCCGGGTAGACTATCCATCACTTACTATTAGTTTAACCCTTGTTTTCTTACCTGTGTGAAGTTAAAACCAACTCCATAATCTAAGTATACAAATTGCTCTATCCGAATTTAAAAAAGCCATTATTTATGGAATTTTATCAATCTGGGATCTGAAAGATAGATGCATTATCAATCCGGGATCTGAAAGATGAAATCATTGAAATGTAACGGTATAGGATCCAAATGATGAAAAACTACCAATCTAAGACATAACATTTCATTGGTTTTGGTTTATTTAATTTTTCATGAATTCCATTGCTAATATTTGATGAATTTTTCTTCACAGAAGGTTATTAGTTTAATAATAAAAAAAATTTAAAATTTTTAAAATAAAAAAATAATAAAGTTTATGAAAACTTAGGTCCTATATTGAAAGTTTTCAATCATTCGGCTCCCAGAAAGACAATTTTCCATCATTCGGGTCCTATACCGATACGTTTCATCTTCTGGGTCCTGGTTTGATAATTCGTCTATCTTTTAGGTCTTGGATTGAAAAAATCCTTTATTTTTAGTTCAAAAACAACTATGTAATTTTATTTTCAAAAATATTCTTTGTACCGACTTAGTCCGACCGAGTGCCCTAACTCCGCCCCTACATTTTTGTGCATTTTGTGTGGGAACAAGTCAACTTATATTGATTTGAGTGTCCAATTCATCCCGCTAATATGCCAAAATATCACATGTGATATATGAGCAATTTGTGCATCTTTTGTGTGAGAGGGGCTGAATATAAAAGCCATGTTGTAAACTCCTTTCCTTACCAGAGAGCTTGGCTCCTTGTTTGTGAAGTATTTCCTTACTAGCGAGCTTAGTTCCTTCTTTGTGAATGATTTAGATGTAGTATGAGAAGCTAGATACATATGGTATTATGGTTGTTGCTCTCTTACGCCTAGATGTGCCAAATGAGAACAAAATCAGATTTCGAGGCTACCTGAGCCAAATTTCAGCGACAAAATCGATTCCCAACAGCTAATTTGTAGAGAGGCAATGAAGTAATGAGACATTAGAGAAATTGGCTATGAGACCAAATTATCGATTGTAACGTATTATTTCTTGTATTCATCTCAACTAGACGATGAACCGGTGTGTTGCACGAGAATACTCAATATACATTAATGAGATAAAAAGATATTGATTGATTGATTATTTTGTTATAAACTTATTCCATACTTGAAGTGTTATTAAATCGATTAATGATCATGTTACAAAGATAAACACCAAAATGGTAAATTAGAAAAATATTTAGGATAATAGATTCTTTAAGTTGTACATGCACCAAAACTTCTTTAACTTTTTATAGATAATAATATATAAACTTACTCTACGCTTTGTTCTAAAAATCTAGGAAAATGTGTCTCCTCTTGGCCATAGTTCAAAATATATATATTATTTCTCTGCTTTTTGTTCTTTTCTACTCCGTATATGTTTGGGTTATTTTATTTATGTTTTATTTTTGACTCTACCCCAATTATTGTATCAAATTTTTAAAAAAGTGACAACATTTTTTGTACAAAAACCAAAAACCCAAAAGCAAATCGAAATAAATCAAATCCATCCAACCATGATCCATGTTTTGAAATGCAAAACCGATCTGGCGAACTTCTTACTTTAGTTCCGTATTTGATTTTGGGATCAATTCCAAATTTCTCCTATGTAGGTCGTACGAATAAAGTCATAAATAGGTCTCTAATTCCAAATAGACCTAAACTTTATGTTCACTCTCAGATGAATCGATATACCCCACATAATGAATTGGCGCATTGGAAGTCCATATATTTATATTCTCTCCGTCCCATTATTCCCATAAAACCTTGTCAACTTTTCTTTTTTTGTCCCAAAAAACTTCGTCATTTTCCCATTAAAGTAACTAATTTGTGGTTTTGCTCATTTCTCTTTCTTCTGCATAAACTTCAACCATATAACTTTATTGTACGTACCTTTCTTATTTCTCGTCTCACTTGAAGTTGGCAAAGTCCAACGAGACGAAAGTAATACTTCATACATGATATTGCATTGATCAATAACTGTGTGGAAAATTTCAGATTGAGAATGTCACCACCAGGTGTAGCCGTGTAGGTGGAGTGTAATTTTGTACACCCTCACTAAGGAGGGTGATGTTCACCCCCTTTGTTCTATGGTTGCCATGTGGCATTCCATCTCATCTCATCCTATTGTGAAGTATTGTCTTGCCACATGGGAGGCAAATAGGGGTGAGAGTGAAAATAACTCTCTCAAATGAGGGTGAACAAAATTGTGTTGGTGTAGGTGTGGAAGGACTGAAGGAGTACTTTACAGATTGAGATAATTAGTTTGATCATACACAGGCATAGAGCCCGTTTGATAACGTTGAAATTGACGGAATCAGTTGATTCTGTTGAAATTTATGAAGTTCTAATTAAAGTTGTTGGTTTGGCAGATTTTTCAGATTATGAAGGAAGAAAAAGTTATTTGAAAAAATAGTTATAATGGTCCTTTGTTGAAATTTCAGTCAATTCAACTTGAAAATTAATTTAAACCTTACTTATTATTCTGATTATTACATAACTCAAAAATTTCAAAAATCGATGGATAAGCGAGATAAGTTTGAAAACCAGGAATGAAAAGGAATAAGGCTAAATAAGAATAGTCAAACCTGCATTAATCAGTGGACAATTTTTGCTGGTCAAAATCCTGAAATGTGAATATGCTAAAAAGGTATTCCATAGTCTACCCCAATAAAATACATTGTCGGTTTTCCATAACATTGTTATCGAAGAATATAATGTACTCCTGGTAGATTTCTTTTTTTGCAAACATAAAATTTCAGCCGAGATGCAAACAATCGGCTGCCACCAGCACAGCCACCATTCAATCGCCGATCTCCGCCGAAACAATCACCGCTCTCCGGCCGTAGAGACATATCCCGTGATCCGCGCCTACAAAGATGCCAGATTCGAAGGTCGCAAAAAGAAGGGCTCAACCAGAACATCGAGGTTGGCCGAGTCCTTGTCAAACTTCATCAATCTTCAGATCGAGACGGCCACCATTGCCCGACGGAACAATCTTGTGAACGTCGAAGACAAGGCCGACACTCCCATATCGTCTCCCAAGCAAAATATATCCAGCGAATGGCGCGAACTTCACGGTTGCCGGGAATGGGAAGGTCTTCTCGACCCGCTCCACCCGTTTCTCCGGCGAGAGGTCGTCAAATACGGTGAATTCGCACAGGCAACGTACGACGCGCTTGATTTCGACTACTGCTCGGAGTACGCCGGGAGTTGCAGGTACAATCCTCACAAGCTGTTCGACGAATTGTCGCTTACAAGGAGCGGTTACAGAGTCGTCAAGTACATGTATGCCATGTCGCAGGTCGACCTACCGGAGTGGCTAGAGGCGTCTAGATTGGTGGACCGGTGGAGCAAGGACTCGAATTGGATCGGATTTGTGGCCGTGAGCGACGACGAAGAAACGCTACGGATTGGGCGGAGAGACATCGTTGTGGCGTGGCGGGGAACAGTGACGCCAACGGAGTGGTATGAGAACACTCAGAACAAGCTGGTGGCGATCGGGCAAGGAGAAGGCAAAGTCGAACAAGGCTTCCTGAACATCTACACTTCGAAGTGCGATTCCTCGCCGTACAACAAATCCAGCGCGTCGGAGCAAGTCATGCGCCAGCTCCGAGAGTTGGTGGAAGCATACGGAGGCGAAGAAATGAGCCTGACAATCACCGGGCACAGCCTGGGTGGCGCGCTAGCCGTTCTGAACGCCTACGAGTCGGCAGCGAACTTCCCCGGCCTCCCAATCGCCGTGATATCCTTCGCGTCACCAAGAGTAGGAAACATCGCGTTCCGCGACGAGCTGTACCAGATGGGCGTCAAAACGCTGCGCGTGACGGTGAAGCAGGACTTGGTGCCAAGAATGCCTGGGATCGTGTTCAACGAAAGCCTGCAGAAGTTTGATGAACTGACAGGAACACTGGAGTGGGTTTACACGCACGTGGGAGCTGAACTGAAGCTGGATGTGAGAGCATCACCGTATCTGAAGAGAGGGTTTAATTTCATAGGGATCCATATGCTGGAGACGCATCTTCATCTGGTGGATGGGTGGGTGAGCAGGAGCTCAACGTTTAGGGGCGACGCCAAAAGGGATGTGGCGTTGGTGAATAAAGATTGTGATATGCTGGTGGATGAGCTCAGAATACCACCCAACTGGTTCCAGTTGGCCAATAAAGGTCTGGTGCGTAATGCTTCTGGTAGGTGGGTTAGGCCCAAAAGGAAACCTGAAGATGTGCCTTCACCAACCACCTTCTAACCTCAAAAAGGTCGGAATCTTCTTTTTTCCGTGTAATCCTTTTTTAAAATATACAACGTAGCATTTTATCTGGGAGAGATATGAATCTTCCTTGTCTAGTATGTCCCGAAGCTATTCTGCATTGGGCGGGTATGTACATGATAGAGTATAAGTCTAGAAAAAAGCGAGAGCTAGAGAGAAGTGAAATAAGTTCTGCAATAAATGGATTTGTCAACCCCTACAAGGTTACAACTACTCCCAAATGGAGTATTTATAGAGGAAATGTGGGTTGGGTTCCCAAGTCTTGGGCTTGAGAGGCCCATTTACAATCGGGCCATTACTGGGCCGAGTTTAAAGTATGCAGAAATGACTAAGTTTTAAATTCGGCTCTGTGAGCTCTCTGTGGTCGATGAAGGTTTGGCCGACGGAGCCATGGCCGATGGAGACCCGACCGACGGAGACACCCGGTTCTCCTGACTTCTGGATCATGTTCTGAGTTGACATCTTTCTGGCCGATGGAGGACCCGTTGGGTGCCAGTTGTGCTTCTTATTCTTCTGGGTATGTGGGTCATGGGGTTTGGACCCATATACTCCATCAGGAGTCCACCACTCTCTGAGCTGAGACGCAGACGAAGTGAAAGAGAGTAGATTCCCGTGGTCTTGATGTTCTTTGACCGATATGGCATCGTTGGGACATTCTTTGTTTTGGCCGTTGTGGACATTCCCTGTTTCGGTCGTTGTGTGCCTTCTCTGTTGTGGCCGTTGTGTGCATTCTCTGTTTTGGCCGTTGTGTGCATTCTCTATTTTGGCCGTTGTCAGTTGCCTTTTGTGTTTCAAGCCGAGGAGGTATCATGGTTGCTTTTGGTGCTCCAGGCCGAAGCGATATTATTCGTAGTTTGGTGTCCATGGCTTTGAGGACGATGATGGCATTAGGTCAGAGGACGTTGTGTGTCCTTGGTTTTGTGGACGATGAATGTCATGTCTTTGACTTTAACTGGTGGATTGTACGCTTGTGGACGTTGGGGCGTTATTTTCTTATCTTGGCCGAGGGTGGAGTACCTGGACCAAGGTCATCGGAGCGCCACGTGTCAAGGGATGACTCGTGTCACGATCTGAGAGGTGTGAGTTTTGTTTCCATGTGCTTATTTTGATGCGGCCGAGGGTGTACCACAAGGTCCTGGACGTTATGGTGCATAGACGATACGGTGTTGTTGTAATTGTATACTTGTCCGTTTTTTGATTTTCAATATCATTCTTGCGTTTGGAGGCCGGTGTAGTCCCCCACTGCTTCAAGTCAAAGGGTCAGTGAGGGGTGAAGTAGTAAGGTGAAACCCCTGGCCGAAGCGAGATCCTCGTATTTCCCCTGAATCCAACCCCTTGGCGATTCCTGACCAAGGTAACCCTGTGGGAGAACCCTTGGACGCAGGTCGCTTTCAAGAAGTAATCATCAATAGGTTTTATACGGGGGGCGATGGTTGTTAGGTTCTTTTCCGCTTTGTTTTTGTGGCCGTTTAAAGAGCCCTGCTGTTGGTAACATGTCAGACCGATATGGGCACACCTTGGGGCCTTTGATGCCGAGGTGGCGTTCTGACATGGGGCAAGCCGTTGAAGTAATTGTTGGCTACTAAGGCCGATGTAGGTGTGACCTGTGAACGTGGAGGGTCATACCTCTCCTTAGTGTGGCCGTTGAATGTCTTGGCCGATATTGGTGCTACTTGTTGGTACGTTGGACGTGGGCTGATAGTGCCGGAAGTGGGCCTGGCCACGAGGTGATCTCCCAGGTTGTCCCAGATGAGGACCAGGCTTATCTCAATGGGCTCGATAACGTCAAGATCTATGACAGTGGAATGGACCACCTCGTCCAAGTGAGTTGGCCACGTACTTTGTTATTTTCTTGATTTACATGCTTGCAGGTGTCACCGTCGTCCTAACCATTTTGTTATTTGGAGGCTGCCTTCATGCTGATGGAGAACAACAAGAGGCAGCAGCGGGAGATAGCCCGGCTGAAGGAAGTTGAGCAGAGGGATGCATGTGCTGATGAGGCCTTGAGTTGCCTGGATCAGCTACGGGGTGATGTGGAGGCCCTGAAAAAGAAAGTTGACGAAGCCGATGCGGCCATTCGTCAAGTGACTGCCGATAGGGACGATGTCCTGAAAAAGCTCGCCGAGGAGAAGAAGGCACATGAGGCTGTTCGTCGCCGTGCTGTTGAGGCCGAGAAGGCCAGAGCTGGGGCCGAGCAGGTTGCTGAGGCTGCTGCAGAGAAAGCTGTCGACGCTGCAATTGAGAAGTTCTTGGCCGACGGCTGGAAAGCTGAGGAGCATCGGTCTTGGTGTTTTGAGGTTGTGGCGGCCAGGCTCGAAGATTGGGGCCAGCACAGTCCTGAAGGCCAGGAGTACTTCGAAAGGGAAATGAAGGTATACTATGACCTCGGCCAACAACGGATGCAGCGGTTGATCTACCGGAGGTTACGCCGTAGATGCCTGGAGTTGAAGCTGACCAAGAAGTTCGCTCATCAGCTGAAGCTGCCTCAGAAGATGAGGGATCCGGAGGATGAGATCAAGCTCCCTGTGGAGGAGAGGCAAACCCCTATCCTAAGCTCGGGCATCAGTGAGGATGATTGGGATGATGATGACATATTCTTGGACATTGCTTCTTCCGCGGCCGCTGAAGCCAGTGATACACCTGTTCAAGAAGCCGACGAGGAAGAAGCTTGATCCCTTTTTTTATTTCTCCGCTTAATATGTAATGGCCGATGCTCCCCCCTTATGTACTTTGAATATTTTGAATGCAAATATTTGGTTGGCTCTTTCGACTTTAGTGTCTACTTCATCCTTGTACTGCTTTTGTTATTTCATGCTTTAGAAATATTTCTAAGTGTCAGTTGAAGTCGGGAGGCTGCTTTCCTTTGTTGTGGCCGATGAGGGTGTCGTCCCTTGCTCGGCCAAGATGGGGATATTCCCTCGGATCTTTTAAGTCCGTGTCATCCACCCTGTGATCTTCATCGGCCACTTTGGATGCCACTTGGGAATTTTTCCCAAGTGCTTTGGAGTAGTCCCTGCGTAGGATCAGGCTCAGATAATGGATCATGTTTGAAGATCTTGCGGGTGTTTGTCTGGTTGGCCCGCATGAGCATGCTTCGTCCATGTTGCGTAGCATTTGCTTTATATTTAACTGATATGTACTTAGTCGAATTGTGTTGGGATTTTTTTATTGCTCGAGGCGGGCAAGTGCACGGTCCATCGGCTTCCCTCTTTTACTCGTGGGGATTTCGCTCGAGGCCGGCGAGTGCACGGTCCTTCGTTTGTCCCTCTTTTATTTATGGGGATTTCGCTCAAGGCCGACAAGTGCACGAGCCTTCGGTTATCCCTGTTTTATTTTCTTCCTCTGCTTCTTTGAGCGAAGAGCGGGTATCCTTCTTTCAGGCTTCGGTCGAGGGGGTTGCTATTCCCTTGGCCGGTAGAGAGTCCTACTGGATCGTCCCGTGATCTCGGGGAGGTCCCGTCGTCTATTTATGACGCGAGTTAAGGCTTTTGATCGGTTGCTGATGGCTGTTGTTTCCCAACCCCAAGTTTTGGGGATTTTTGTCACCTCAGCCATGATTTCAGACCTGTTGTCCTATGATTTAGCGCGAGGACGATGCGGTGAGCTTCCCATTTCAAGACGTGGGCCGTTTGCGGGGGGCCCGTCCTGGGACACCGTCGGCCATACCTGAGCGTTTCGCTCTAAGAGGTCGATACGATGTGCTGTGTCGGCCATACCTGAGCGTTTCGCTTTAAGGGGTCGATATAACGCGTTGTGTCGGCCATACCTGAGCCTTTCGCTCTAAGGGGTCGACACGATACGCTGCATTTTTTTTTAAAATTGGGGAGCTCGTCGGCCCAGCTTCCTCCTGCATCCTGGAGTTTCTTCTTCAGGCCTTCGAGTATGGTTCTGTTGGCGTTCTCAACTTCCCCGTTACCTTGAGGGTAGGCAACAAAGAAGAAACGATGCTTGATTCCCCATTTTCAGAGGAGCTCCTAGAAGGGTGCGGCTTCAAATTGGGTGCCATTGTCGGATATGATCTCCTGAGGAACGCCGAAACGGGTAAGGATGTTTCTGTGGACGAACTTCTGACACCTGGCACCTGTGATGTTGGCCAGGGGTTCCGCTTCGACCCACTGGTTGAAGTAGTCGACTGCGACGATGATGTAGCGGTTGTTGCCGGTGGCTCTAGGCAGTGGGCCGACCAGGTCAATCCCCCATCTTGAGAATGGAATTGCAGTACTGATCGGGGCGTAATTGACGGCCGGCCGACCAGGGGCCTTCTGAGTACCTGATATGCGGTACACTTCCTTGCAAGGTTAGCACAATCCCGCGCCATCGTCGGCCAAAAATAGCCTTGGACGACGAGACGCCGGGACATGCTAAAAGGGCCCTGATGTGAGCAGACACCGTAGTTGACTTCTTCCATTGCTACTTCGGCATCGTCCTGGTGCAGGCATCGGAGGAGAGTGCCATTGTAGGATCTCTTATAGAGTTTCCCATTCTCAATGGTGTAACTCGGGGCCCTGAGTCTGACTTGTTTAGCCCTCTCCTCGTCCTGGGGTAATTCTCCCGAAGTGATGAAGGTCATGATGTCGGATATCCAGTCCTCCGGGCGTTGTTGAATGCACATGATTGGGCTGGCATGGATACTGGACATGTTTAACTCCTCGACTTTGGCTATCTTGGAAATGTGCTCCGGAGTGTTCGTGCTAAGCCTGGAGAGAATGTCGGCCTCGGCATTCTCCGCCCTTGGGATCTGTGTGATCTCATGGGTTTCAAATGCCTTGAGCAACTCATCAGCCGCATGTTTGTATTGCCTCATCGTTCCTTCTTTGGCATCGTATGAGCCCTCAATCTGGCCCACCACCAGCTTGGAGTCGCATTTGATTCTGACATGTCGTGCTTTGAGGCCGGCGGCGAGTCTGAGGCCGCTGAGGAGAGCCTCATACTCGGCTTCATTGTTGGACACCCTGAAGTTGAAGCGGATGACATAGTAAGCTCCGAATCCTTTAGGGGAGATGAGGACGACGCTGCCTCCACATGCTTTGGCGGTCGATGAACCATTAGTGAATAGGGTCTATGCTTCGTGTGGTTCTGCCCCGGGTATGGCGGCGGCCGTGTCCCTTGCCGTACACTCAGTGACAAAGTCGACCAAGGCTTGCCCCTTGATAGATAACCTTGGCTTGATTTCGATTTGGAACTGACTAAGGAAG